GGTGGGGACACTGGACAAGAATGCTAAGGACAAGGTGAGGGGCCGATGAATGGTATCTGATGGGACAGTCACGGGGTTGAGGGGCAGGTCGCGCCGACGGGTTGGGTGGTGTCCGCAAAAGCCGGGGCCGCTTCGGCTGCGCGAGGCGCTGCCCCGTGCGCCGGGACGGGGCCACACTCCCACGCACCGCAGGTTTTCAGCTGTCGCCGTGCACAGCGTGCCCTTTGTGACGTCGCCTGACACACTCTGATGAAACTTCTAATGGCCTTTTTGAATCATGCCATTGCAAGAGCACACGCGTGCGTGAACCAGTGGTGTCAACAGGCACCCCCGCTCCTTCTGAACCCCCTCCCAGGTGACGTTCAAGGATGTCGCGGGCTGCGACGAGGCCAAGGCAGAGATCATGGAATTTGTGGACTTCCTCAAAAAGCCCGATAAATACAGGAACCTCGGGGCCAAGATCCCCAAGGGGGCCCTGCTGGTGGGTGCCAGGTGGATGAGTGATGACGTGTGGGGACCTGATGCATGCACGCGTGCGTGCGGTTGTGAGCGCTTGAATATGTGTGTGCGCGCGCGATGGGTCTGGTCGTCGCGACAATGGGCTTGTGCGGGTTGGGGATATTCACGATCCATCACTGTCCGGGAATTAATGAGCCTCACCAGGCTCCTGTCGACTGCAGATCGTCCCCAAATCAGCCCCTCGCGCCGCCCAGCACCCGCCACCCTCGCCACTCGCTAAACCCCCAAACCCCGCCCGCACCCTCACCCCCCCACCCCCAACCAACAGGTGGGCCCCCCCGGCACCGGCAAGACGCTGCTGGCCAAGGCCACCGCGGGGGAGGCCGGGGTGCCCTTCCTCTCCATCAGCGGGTCGGACTTTATGGAAATGTTCGTGGGGGTGGGGCCTGCGCGCGTCAGGGACCTCTTCGCACAGGTGTGTGTGTGTGTGTGTGTGTGTATCCCTAACAGGGTTTAGGGGCAACCCTGGGCTTGTTGAACCCTGGACCCCTGGGGACGCCTTGAGGATTGACCGCGTGGCGAACGGGTCAGTCCCTGTGGAGTCCGCTTGCGAGCGCGAGCGCGCAAGTCATTCGAGCGACCATCCGCAGGGCCGGTGCGGCGGGGTTGAAAAACAGCACCGGCAGGGCACATGCACCAGCGCCCGGCGGCGCGCCCCTCGAGCTGAGCCCGCGGCTTGCGGGCCAGGCCGGCTCAAGGGTGCGCGCGACCCCCGCCCTGCCGCGCCCGTGCCGTCCAGTGTTGGCAGCAAGCCTCACCTTCTCCCACCCCCACGTGCGGCCCCCCGTCCCTGGATCGGAATACGAGCAGGCACGCAGCCAGGCCCCCTCCATGATCTTCATTGACGAGATCGACGCCATCGGGCGCGCACGGTGCGGCCCAGCTGCGTCGCCTGAGAGCGCTTGCTTTGCGGGTTTTTTTTGGGGGAGGGGGGCGGGCAAGATGGGGTGTGTCCTGGGCGAGAGGATCACAGTGGGGGCGTGTGACAACGGGTTTGAGGCCGTATGTGCTGCCAGTTTTGCTGCGTGCTGCACGCACACTCTGCAATCGCTGGGCCTTTGGGAACCGGTGGTGGCCTCGGCTGAGTCTCTCTTGCACACCCAAAAGTGTGTGCGCATACCTTGCCTTCAGCCCCACCCAATCCCCGCCACCCTTTCTTCGTGAAACCTCCTCTCCTCTCAAATCCCTACCTGCTGCCGCATCGACCGCCAGCGGCCGCGGCTCCGCGGCTGGGGGCCACGATGATCGCGAGAACACCCTCAACCAGCTTCTGGTGGAGATGGACGGGTTCGCCACGATCAGCGGGGTCGTGGTGCTCGCGGGGACGAACAGGTCAGTGTGCGCGCATGTGCGAGCGGGGAAAGGCGGCTGAGTGCGTACGTGGTCCTGCGGCGTCTGGGGGATGTTTGGGGTTGAACGCCTGGCGGTTGAACTCCAGCTGCAAATTCGATTGCAAGGCATGTCCTTGTGGACGCGTGGCCAGGGGCTCGCGAAACATATGAATCCGTCGACTAACCATGTTGTACTCATTCTCCCTCCAATCATCCCGACCGCCGCCCGGCCCCCGCCCCGCCACTATCATCAGGCCCGACATCCTTGACCGCGCTCTGCTGCGGCCCGGCCGCTTCGACCGCACCATCAGCATCGACACGCCAGACATCAAGGGACGCATCCAAATATTTGGGGTGCACCTCAAAAAACTCAAACTCGAGAAGAGCATCGACGACTATGCGGGTGCGTTGGGCGTTGGCTGGGGGTAGGGCTCTGGCTGTGCCAAGGGTCTGTGCCTGAAATCACCCTGAACGAGGTGCCAGCAGACAGTGCCTGCTTTTGCCCCATCAGTCGCCGCTCCTTCGGCGCCTCTTTGGGCAATTTCAATTTTCCAAGGTTCTGAAAGGCTCCGAAGGCTGTGACACGCCCAACAACCCAGATAATCATGCCCCTGCGTGGCGCGCGGTCCCAGCCATTCTCACGCCGCGGGCACAACATTTCCCTCCTGTCGCGCCCTCCCCCACCCACAGAGCGCCTGGCGGCGCTGACCCCCGGCTTCAGCGGCGCCGACATCGCCAACGTGTGCAACGAGGCGGCCCTGGTGGCGGCGCGCGGCAACAAGGAGTGTGTCGGCCTGGTTGACTTTGAGGCGGCGATCGACCGCGTGATTGGGGGCCTTGAGAAGAAGAACAAGGTGGGGTCTGATGGTCGTTTGCAGCAAATGATGCGGTGTTTTTTTGCTGGCGTGAGTGGCGCTGCTGGTCAGGTCTTTGATGCACGCGTGTTTGGCAGGGGGCAGAAAGGGGGGTGGTACAGCCGAACAGACGAGCCGTGCGACGGGCGCGGTCTCGCGGGCAACTGGATGTGTTGCTGCGTATGGGCCCTTCTGCAGCAGCTTGCCCTCCCTGTCCCCTTGCTTGTGGGGGTTTGGCTTGCCGCGATGAACATCAACCCCAAGTTTCTCCCCCGTTTGGCGCAGGCCCGCCAACCACCTAACAGCCGCTGTGATGAAGCGATTCCCGCTGCCCCCTCCCAATGCACTCGCGCACCAAACCCATCCTCCCCCCAAAGGTCATCTCCCCGGAGGAGCGCCGCACCGTGGCGTACCACGAGGCCGGGCACGCCGTGGTGGGCTGGTTCCTGCGCTACGCAGAGCCCCTACTCAAGGTCTCCATAGTGCCGCGCGGCACGGCGGCCCTTGGGTTCGCGCAGGTGGGGGCGCGCGCGTGGGAAAGCACGGGGCGGCCGCGCCGGCGTCACACGCGCGGCGGCTCCGCCGGGTGTTCGGTTTACAGCGTGCGGCGCGGGGCTCATCTGCTGGGGGTTTTGGCACCAAAATCAAATGGGGGCGCCCTGCCCCGCCGTCCTGGGCGTCAGTGGTGCACTTGCCATGAAAGCAGCCTATCTCCCCCAAACCAATTGTCCAGACTTCCCACCTCACAATCAACAGCTGTTGAAATGGACTTTGACGCCCTCCTATCCCCCCCCGTCCTCCAATCCACCAATGAACCCAAATCCCCAGTACCTGCCCAACGAGAACCTGCTGTTGACTAAGGAGCAGCTGCTTGACAGGTGCGCACAAGCGCCCTCCAGCCTGCCGAGTCACCTGCTCGGCGGCTGTCCACGCACCTGCCTGCCTGCTGGCTTGTGCAAGCACGCGGCCATTGCCGCCGCCCTTGCCGTCGCCCTAGCCCCACCACCATCTGCCACCCCGCTCCGCGTCAAAGCTCACCCTCGACGCCCGCTTTCCTTTTCCAGATCCCTCACTCCAGCTCACCTCACCTCACCCACCCGTTGCGTGCGTGTCACCGCCCATATTGCGCCCGCACGGCACCCAAAGGGTGTGCGCCGCGCTGGGCGGCAGGGCGGCGGAGGAGGTGATGATTGGGGCCATCTCCACGGGGGCGCAGAATGACCTGGAGAAGGTGACGCAGATGGCCTACGCGCAGGTGGGCCATCAGTTTACAGCGCAGCATTTATGCGGCCACGAGATGGGGGGGGGGGGCAATTGTCGCGCGGGCGTACCTGAGGGACAAGCCGCGTAACAACGTGCGTTTTGCACCGCGCCGCTGAGTTGTGCGTGGCAGTGTGCTGTGGCGGGTGGGGCCGCCGCATGCTGTCTCACCGTTTGAACCGCCCTGTGTGCTCCATACGCAGTCCCACTGCGCGACCCTCACAACACCTGCGCAGTCCACACACGTGCATACACATACAGCACACATGCTCACACAGACAACACTTTTACACAGACATACTCGCGTACACACTTGTACATGTCCACACACTCGCACACACACACACACACATACACACGCATGCCCCCGCCAGGTCAGCATCTACGGCATGAACGACAAGGTGGGGCTGGTGTCCTTCCCGCCAAAGCAGGAGGCATTTGCGGAGCGCCCCTACAGTGACCAGACCGCACAAATGATCGACGGAGAGGTGCGCCGAGGGGCGAACATGCGCACAATAACCCACTTCTGCGCCCCTACCTGTGCGCTTGCCGCATGCTTTTGAGAGTGCGTGTGCTGCCGTTTTGAAACACCAGGTGGGTTGACCCCTTGAGCGAGCTGAGTCCACGCCTTCTGTGCACGGATGGCACTTATTACATGCGTGCACCATTTGGCAACCCCCAAACAAAATGTCAAACAGGTCCGTGATTTCGTGCGCGAAGCCTACACACGCACGGTGGCGCTGCTGAAGGAAAAGAGTGACTTGGTGGAGGCCATGGCGCAGGTCCCCGGGCAGAGTCTGCCCAAGGGGGGGGATGTGATGGGTTAAGGCGCTGCTTGAAACGGCCCCTCCAGCGCGCCCTGACCAGCTCGCCGGCCGTGCCGCGCGGGGCATTTGCTCGGGCGCCTGCTGCTCGCGCGCCCGGGGATCCATCCGGTCGGGTCGGCCCCGTGCTGGCTGCTGCTCGCGCCCCGCGCTTTGTTGGGCCCCCTTGCCGAGGATCCAAGGATTGTATTCGACATCCTCTACGATCCCAAAAACAGCATTGGTGTGCCTGGATCTCTGTATCGCCAAAGTCGCAATCTTGGCAACCCACTTTCATGATCACCCAAATCAGTCACCACTGACACAGCCACCCTGCACCCTCCACCCACCTAGGCCCTGCTGTCACAGGAGGTGCTGAACCTGGACGCCGTGGAGAAGCTGCTGGGAAAGCGCCCCTTCACCTCCGCAACGCTGCAGAACATCGACCGCTACCGCAACGGCCCAGCCGTCGAGGGCGGCGGCGAGGACGCGGCCGCTGCGGAGCCTGCGCAGCCGGGGGCAGAGTCGCGGGATTGCCCAGGGGAGGGTGGCGGCGGGGGCGATGGCGGCGGCGGCGGCGGCAGCGGCGGGGGTGGCGGTGGCGGCGGCGGCGGCGGCGGCGCAGCGGGCGGCGGGGGCGGGAAGGAGGCGCAGAACTATGGGCGGCGGAGAGGGATGGACCCGGGAATGGTGGTGGCTACATGAGTGGGGGCTGCTGGCACATGTCGCGGCTTTTGTGGGTTTCTATGGTTCTCTACTCTTCCACTGTATTGTACTGGTTTGCCTGAAATGGGTTGGGTTGACGTGTAAAGCATGGAACCCCTCAGTGATACGGCACGCCCCACATGTACACTACGCTTGATGGTGTTTGGTTGGTTGCAGTGTTTCTCTGCCCACATTGTGGCGGTCTGTATTTTCTGCCCACATTGTGGCGGTCTGTATCTGAGCGTTTTGGCTTTTCAAAAGGTGTGCTGCATTTTTGCATGTCCAGAATGCCATGTAACATCAACAACCTTGTCCCTGCGTCTTTGCCCATGCTGCGCCAGGTCAGGTCATCACCAGTCGCCCTCCGCAAGCCAGCCTGTACTGTACCTCATACAACTTGCGCAAACCACCTGGAGTCACCTGGAACTGGTGGTACCGTGCATCACAGGGCATGGCCATGGCCGATGCGAGTGATCCTTTGCTTGGATTTCTTTCCTGCTACGTACCGGTCATTGTGGGTCAAGATCCAGATGGCGGGTCTATGTCGCGCGTACGCCGTTGGCATAATCCCGCCGATGAATTCGAAGAGTATCCGAAGAGACAGTGACTCGTCAAAACAACTACTGGTGTAGCGCTTGATGCCGATGCAAGTGCCGAGCACCAACTTGCGAGGCAACGAATCGGCATTCGACCAGAGGGCATCATACGCTCAGGACATATATACAGGCATATTAGTCAATTCAGAGTCGCTTGAGCTTGCTGTTCACGGCCGCCAAAGCAGGCAGCCCATTGCGCTGTGGAGGGTGCCCCACCCGTCCCGTTCAATTGGAAGCTGAAAGGTGCGGCATGTCAATATATACATGCTGCGAGCATATTGGGACGCAGCGCACTCGAGCAGGACTGCAATGCCAAATGCGCTCTGGGCTGTGGCAGCGGCACGCCGCCTGCCGCACCTGGCGCATCGGGACCCACCGCGCAACCCCGCATTTGCAGGCAACCGTATTCACAGCGTGATGCAGCAAGGACGCGTGTTGAGCGCCCGGCCGGGCGCCATGCGCGCACATGCAGCCCGTAGCGCGCGGCGGGCGAGCGCGGTGCCGGTGCGGGCGGTGGTGCAGGCTGCCAGCGCGCCCGTGGCGGCGCCTGCGGCAGACGTAATGGGCGCGAACGTCCCGCGCGGCGAGACGGCTGGCGCTGTGATGGTGATCGAGGGCGTGACCGTACAGGTACGCCGCTGAGCAGGCGACCATCCACAACCCACGCCCTTGTGGCGCACACCGCACCGCAGCCAGGCAGCAGCCGCAGCCCGGAAAAGCGCATCCCGCCTGCAGCTGCGGCTCGCAAAGTGTGGTGTCCCCTCCGCCTGTTCCGCGATCTCAGTGGCAACCAGGCTCCATGCAAGGCCGCATTCAGGGCGCTGCTCGCGCGGTCGCCAGTGCTCTGCGCAGGCGACGGCTCTGCGCGAGCCACGGCCGCCCGCCGCGCCGTCCAGCATCACGCCCTATCAACGGCTCCACACGCACACGCGTGCCGCCCCGGCTCCCTCCCCAGGTTGGCGAGCGCGACCTGTTGCAGGACGTTGACTGGCGGCTGATGCCGGGCCACAGGGTGGGCCTGGTCGGCGCCAACGGGGCCGGCAAGTCGACGCTGCTCAAGGCCCTCGCCGGGCTCAAGTCGGTGCGCTGCGCGCGCGCGCGTGCTGTGCGTGCTGTTCGCGCGGTGGGTGCTGTGGTCGCTGTGCATGCTGTGCGTGCGTGCTTTGAGGGCGCTGTGAGCACGACGCCGTGCGGCGGTGCGCGGCGGAGCGCTGCGCGACTCCTGCGTGGCCCTGCGATGCCGGCTGGCCAGCTCCGACAGTATTCGCAGGCCGTGCGCCGCTCATGTAAGCAGCACCTGCCGCGCATGTGCGATGCGACCGGCCCAACGTCCCCATGCATTTGAACACTTGTTACTGTTGGTCCAATCCTGCCACCGCCGCGTGACCACATTCAACGGCCCTGCAGGTGAATGGCAAGCTGGTGGTGGCCCCCAAGGTGGAGCTGGGATACCTCGAGCAGACAGCGGTCAGCGGCAGCACGCGCTCCGTCTGGGACGAGGCGCGCAGCCAGATGAGAGGTGCGCAACGCGTGCAGTCGCAGCCGCATGCATGAGCGCACTGCCGCGCGAGCCGCGCTCTTGCACTCAACGGCGGGCGGTACCGCCGGGGGCTGCGTGCCGGTTTTTTCCTTGGCAGCAGTGCGAGGTAGTGAAGTCGGTGCACGCACTGCTGTCATGTGACGGCACATGCTGTCACCTGTCGGCAAGTTTCTCTCGCACGCTCCCCTCGGAACCCTTAACCCTCTCTCTCTCTCTCACACGCGGATCCGCGGCGCCCCGCGCTGCAGCCATTGTGCGCGCCGAGGCGGCCATGACCGAGGCGAGCGAGGCGATGCTGGCTGGTGACCCCAAGGCCAGCGACCGCCTGGCCGACGCGCAGGATGCCTTCGAGGCCGCGGGCGGCTACGACGCCGACCGCCGCATCGGCGGCGTGCTGTCGGGCCTGGGCTTCGCGCCCGAGCAGTGGCACAAAAGCTGCGCGGAGTTCAGCGGCGGCTGGCAGATGAGGATGTGAGCGGACGGCAGCGCGCGGGCGCGGGCACGGCCTTTGGGCTGGGGCGTGTATGAGGCGGGGACTGGTGGGTTTACTTTGGTGCGGCGGTTGACGGCAGAGCCTGCACTCTGCGTTATGCCTCGCCACTGCGTGAACACGCGGTGGTGTTCGAGGCTTTGCACTCACGCCGCCTCCGGGCCCGCGCCACTCGGACGGTCGCAGTGCTCTGGCGCGCCTGCTGCTGAGCGATGCGGGGCAGGCGGCGTCCAAGGGTGCGTCTGGCGGGCTTCTGCTGCTGGACGAGCCTACCAACCACCTGGACAGGTGGGTGGCGTGCGAGGGGGCGGGCACTCAGACGCCTATCGCGTCGAAACGTGCGCCGCAGCCCTGGGTGCACTGCCAGCTGTATGGCCACAGGCAACAGGCACAGTAGGCATCGCGGAACTGCATTACCAACGCTTTGCAGATGACGGCGATGGTAGCTTTAGACAGCGTATTGCACCCTGTCGGCTCGACACACCTTCATTGACCTGCCCTATCGAACCAATGTGGTCGCCATCTTGATCTCAGTGCGGCAGTCAAGTGGCTCTCCGGCTTCCTGGCCACCAGCGGCGGCACCCTGGTGCTGGTTTCACACGACGAGGCGCTGCTGGAGGGCGCATGCGATCGGATCTGCGAGGTGCGTTCAACGCCCACTCACATATAATCTATAAACCAGCAACCCGTGAAGCTTGTCAGGAGCGACGGGCCAAACCTCCATTGCAAAAACCTGAGCCCCAGGGCTTTATTTTCCATTCCCTTTATTCTCCCCATGCTGGCTAAAAGCAAGCGCGCAGCCCTGTGGACTTTTCGAGGGGCACACAGGACCAGGGACCAAGTTTGGAGTTACACAAGCACACATGCATCAGCATGTGTACATGCATGTGTGCCTGCACGTCGCCTCCAGGAGCGTAGGACTCGACCCCATCACCCCACGCCGGCCCCCGCCCCGAACCCCAGGTCCGAGGCAAGAAGCTCCACCACTTTGCCGCCGGCTACAAGAAGTTCCTCGAGATGCGTGAGGAGCGCGAGACCATCGCCGCCGCCACCGCCGCCGCCACCCAGGCAGAGATAGAGCGCCTCGAGGCCTTCGTGGCCCGCTTCGGCGCCAAGGCGTCGAAGGCCAGCCAGGCGCAGTCGCGGCAGAAGCAGCTCGACAAGCTGAGGGAGAGCGCGCCGGAGATACCCGCGGCGTCGAGCGGCGCGGGGCCGGGGGACGCCCGGAAGGTGCGCGGGCGCGGGCGAGCCGCCGCTTCTGTCTGCAGTCGACCTCCGTGGTTGCTCTCTGCATCGCACCTGGGCGCAAGCCGGGAATATGCATTCTCAAAACCTCCTTGTGGCGCCCGTACCCTCGGCGCACCCCACCAACCATCGCCTCCCTTCACCTCGCTTCATTGCCTGCCCACCCGCCCCCTCGGACCCCTGCCTTCTGCAGGTGGCCCTGAAGCTGCCGCCCCCGCCCCCCTGCTTCACCGATGTCCTGGAGCTGCAGGATGTCGCCACAGGCTGGGGCTCACCGGACGCCGGCCGGCCGCCGGTCGTGTCCGGTGCGTTGCACACACACACACATGCACGCACACACGCACGCACGAAAATGCATGTGCATGTGCATGCGCATTGTCGACAAGCCAACCTACCTTGCAACTATCGCGGCTGCTGGCCCCCCTCTCATTGCCTGGGACACCGCGATGGTTGCATGTCCAGGCACTTGCGGCTGCACGTCCAGAACCACACGCATGGTGTGCACATATCAGCTCCCTTCCCGCCTCAAAGCTTGTGTCAACGAAGCACGCGTCCGCCCCAACCTTTTGTGCAGGCGTCAACGCCGTCATCCAGAAGGGCCAGCGCGTGCTGGTGCTGGGGCCGAATGGGGCCGGCAAGAGCACGCTGCTCAAGACCATCGGCGGCACCGTCCAGGTTTGCACCCATGCCTCCTTATTGATTTGGTGTTCCTTGGTCTTTTGTGCTGGGTTCTGGATTATATCCCATTCTTGTTCACGCTTGCAATCGGACTCAAGGGATTCCAGCTGGTGGTGGCCTCGGCAGGCGCCTGCTTCCCCAGGTCGCTCGAGAACACGTGCGCGCAACATGCGGGGCGCCATACCCCATCCTCCTCGCGCCGCCGCACCCCCTCATCCCGCCCCTCACTCTGCGGACCGCCCCCCACGTGCCCCATCTCTCACCGCAGCCCTGGGCGGGCAGGGTGAAGCTGGGGGAGGGCGCCAAGCTGGGCATCTTCTCACAAGACCTTGCGCAGGTGAGGGGCGGCTTTGGGCGTGTTCGATATGTCCATTTATGTTTGAACACTCGACTTCTTGAAGATCCAGAAGGGCGGCTTGATACCTTTTGAAGGCCTGTGCGGTTTGAAGACCAGCCACCCACCGCGGGTGCGGCAGCCCCTCTGTCTGCGGGGCGCGCTCGCTGCCGCCCAAGCCAGGGCGCCCGCACTCAGGCATCGCACCCCACCAGCCTCCGACTGGATTGGTCTTGATTTCTCGACCCCCACCCTTCCGCCCCTGACACCGCTGCGGCCTTGGACTCGATCAACCCCTTGGACCTCAATCCCCAACCCCGCACCCCTCTGAACCCCAGGAGCTGCCCCTGGACCGCCCCGCGCTGGACTATGTGTGCGAGAAGGCGCGCGAGGAGGACTCCAGCATCACCCTGGAGAAGTGCCGCCAGGCGCTGGGGGCGCTGGGGCTGGTGGGGTCGATGGCGCTGCAGACCATAGGTGGGGGTCCCCTGCCGGCTGCCTAGAAGTCAAAGCTTTGCAGAATGGCACAGCAAGCGGGGGAAGCGAGTTGGGGAAGTATCAGGCGAAGCGGGGGCCCGCAGCTGCCCCCCCCCTTGTGCTTTGCAGGGTAGCGTGACGCGCAGTCGGGCAAAGCCGCCCTGGCGCTCCCCCCCACCCACGCCTCCGCGTTGAGGCCGGTGTCTCGGAGCATCAGGGGGCGTATCGGGCAGCCCGCCCATGGCTGAGGCGGCTGTGTCGCCTTGGAGCTCTTGTTTTGTACACCCCCTCCGCAAGGCGTTCCGCATTTGCACCAGCCGCGTGCGCAGGGATGAACCCCCTCCCCTCCGCCCCTTGCCCGCGACCTGGCTGCAGGCTCCCTGTCCGGCGGCGAGAAGGCGCGCGTCGCGCTGGCGGTCTTTGCCCTGGTGCCCGCCAACGTGCTGCTGCTGGACGAGTGAGCGGCCGCGAGCTGTTGTGTGTGCTTGCCGCGCGCGCGCGCGCGCGCGTGTGTGTGTTCACGTGCGCATGTCTGCATGTCTGCTTGCCGTCTCTGCTGTGGCTGCCCTGAAAGTATACAGCAATTGTGGCGCGGCAGCAGGCGCTCCAGTATTTCTGCACTGAACGTGTGGCATGACGTTTTTCCTGCTTTGACCACCCTGCAGGGCGAGCAACCATTTGGATGCACAGACCATCGAGACCCTCACAGGTGCGCAGCGCGCACACAGCTGACGGCTCCGACCGCCCCCGCCACAGCCCTTTCCCTTTTTGTACAGCCCTGCCCCGCACGCCCCCGGGGTGCGGCCCACGCCAGGGATGGGCCGACGCGGTTCGCCCACCCACCCCTCAGCTGAGCGCCCACCCTGTCCCCGCGTGTTCCCGCGGCTTCTCTAGGACACGCTCACCGATAAACCACGCGCCCGCCACGCCGTCGCGCCCCCTCTGGAACCCAACGCAGGGGCCCTGCGTGAGTTCAAGGGCGCCATCATAGCCATCACCCACAACAGGTCCTTCGCGGAGAGCCTGCAGGCCACCCACATCCTGCGCGTCCAGAACGGCGGCGCCAAGCTGTCATACAACGACGGCCTCAGCGACGCCGACTTTGAGCACCCGTCGCCGGCCGCCGCGCCCGCCGCGGCCGCCAGCAACGGCAGGAGCGCGACAGCGGCGG